GCCGAATCAGGCGAGCGGTGTCTCTGCACGCGGCCGCCCTAGGTGAGGACTTCCTCCCATATTCGTCCGGCGGCAAGCCGGTAAGGTTTCTGATGTTAGCAGATGGTATCCGTAATAGTGTTGTCGAATTATTCCACGTTTCGGTTCTGCAGTCTTGAACTCGTCGGCGCCACCATCCCCCCTCCCTCACACTCATGTGCCCGGGCCCCCCGTTGGGAAGATGGTGGTAAGGGTGGACGGGATGGTGTCGGCGACGGTCAAGTCGAAAGATAGCCTCAACGAGGAGAAGGCGGCACGGGCAAAGAGGATGTACGAAGGATACACGCATCTGACCTGGTTCGCGTCGCTGTTCCGCCTTCGAATGGGGAAATCTGAGGTGCAGGTGCGAGGAAGAGAGGGGGAAGGTACCTAGAAGGTACAGCTGTTTGCCGGGCTTTGTGTTCGCCGGATTGGTTGCGAGGGCCTGCCTTTCGAAGCCGCGGGGCATGCACCTGTGTCTGTGCGTACTCGTCTTGATTCTTGCTGTGCGTACGACGGGTTTCCTTTCGTGGTCCGGCACCAATCCCAACACCTGCAGCTGGTAAGTTTTTTTTTTCGTTTTTGCCATTGTTTTTTCATGATTGGTTCTCTGCCATTCTCTTTCGGTCAGTGCTTGAAAGCAAGGCGTGCCTTTCTGTGGTTCGCGGGTGACCTCGGGAGTCCGTATGAAAGCCATGTTATCTTCCCAATTCAGTTTCTTTCTTCGCTACAGCACACTACGCACGCGCCGCTTTACCCGTACCTGTCCTACTTTGTTGTGGAAATGCCGATATTCACAAGGCCATGGATTGTTTGTCACGCGGGCAATCGCTGCCCAGGGGGTCGTCACCGAGTTTCAGGGCGACCTCATCGGCGCCGCTGAGGCACAGCAGCGAGTCGCGCACTACAACGACACGGGAGTTTTTGTGAGAGCGAAGGCAGATAGACAAAAAAAACTACCATTTACAGTTGTATCTCTTAGGCGCATAAGTTGTGCATACAAGCGCAAGAGATGGAAGTGAAACAACGTGTGTTGCTGACGCGCCGGTGCTTCGCTTGTGAGTTTCGTGACGACACCTGTAGTCTTTATCTTGTCGATCTTCTGCACGCCCAACACTTTCGCACCCATGTTGTATTTTTTCTGACACTGGTGCGTGCTACGCTTCACCTCAGCTGACGCCTCGAAAGCAAAGCTCGTCCTTTCTTTGACGGCATATGTGTAGGAAGCAGAGGAACGTGACAACCCCCGTTTTCAAACAATTTCAAGTCTCTCTTGCCCCCCTGCTTCGCTTTGCTGTCGAAAAAATGCTACGTTGGCAACAGCAGCGACTATACCCAGCGAAAACCTGGGCACAGCGTGGGTGGATGGTATGGTAGTGAGTGTTGTGTCAAACCAGTTCGTTTGGGGTACGCCAATTGGTCAGTCAGTCCCCCACCCCTTCTCTCCAATCCCGCCAACACCACCATTTCTTTCCCCTGGACTCCCTCAATCTCATCGCTGCCGCAGGGATGCATAGTACAGGTCAGCAACGACCCCCTGTACCTTGACGCCCTGCTGAAGGGATACCCCGCGCGGTTCCTGAACCACTCGCGCGATCCAAACGCTTACCTTTATACGGTGAGCAGTGTACAATGTTTCTAACTCTACCACATTAATCAGCGATTAGGATGGGATGGATGGTACATGGCTGAGAGAATATTATGTGAACGTGTATCAAGTCTGGTATCTGTTCAGGAAGGTGCCAGGCACGCCCAGGAAGATTGGGTGTTTAATTTTCTTTTGCGAATCGAAGGGAAAAAGGCAAAAGGGGGAGGGGGCTTGTTCATGGCCCGTCCAGAGCACCCACTTTCACGGCGGTTGTGTCATCGGTTCAACTATGTTTTTGGAGTGAAACCGTTGGTCGGGTTTTCCGTCGTGTGCCCGAGAGCGTTACTCAGTAACTGCATATTGCCCCAACTTTGCCCCGTGCAAAGCCAGGCATATCCCCGCCCACAGAGCCCCAATCAACCTCACACCAATTGCATCATGTAGGCATGGGCTACAGCTGTCTGAAAAGCTACGAAACTGAATAAGTGGCTGCGGAGATCCGTTTAAAATGGGGGGAATCCGCAGCATCTCAGGAAGTAGTAATCGTCTCAAGCTTCCGTCCACACAGCTCCGGTTGACCACCAACCTTTTTCATCGTGTTGCCGCGGTCCGCACCGTTCATACAAGTTATCGGACATTCACATCCGATATGTTCCTGCAGAGATATGGTCAACAGAGGGGGTTCCGCAGCATCTAGGAGGTGGTAAATGTCATCGACTATGATACTGCTTTTCCTTTGTAGTCCCGCTAACCTCCCGTCACGGCTGAACCGCGTCTAAATCTGACCGCACCGTTGTGGCACGGCTCACATCTATCATCCAAGCTTCGGGCACTCCAATTGGACCAGTGGGTGCTGAGAAACGCCCACCCACGGGGGCTCGGTGGCTCAAAGGCCGGTGGAGCATATAGGCCATATCTTCACCAGGCCATACTCTATCCAAAGGGCGTCCGTTTGCTACGAAGACTTGCATTGTGGTGGCACCACTCACAGCTACCTATCATACACGCCATCGGGCACCCAATCGGATTTGTAGGTGCAGAGCTACTGCCCACCCACGGCCTCGGGGTCTCAAAGGGCGGCGGAGCAGATTGGCCGTATCTGCCCCACAGACCGAATCCTCTCTAGAGGGCGTCGTTTACCCTACGAAGCCTTGGATTTTGTTGGCCCACAACAATCTTACAAGTCATCGGGAACGTCGTTCAGATCGGTAGACACAGAGAAACGCCCACCCACGGGGGCTCGGAGACTCAAAAGCCGGTGGAGCAGATTGGCCTATATCTGCTCCACTAGGCCAAACTCCATCTACAGGCCTCGTTTGTCCTACGAAGATTTGCGTTGTGTTGGCACGGCGCACAACTATCATACAAGCCATCGAGGACGTCGTTTGGATCGGTGGACGCAGGGAAACGCCTACCCAGGGATCCATTCACGCAGTGGGCGAAGGAGGGGGGGGGGGGGCGCTCGTATTTCGTGGCCCAAGGCAAGCAACATGGACAAACCTAACCAACGAATCCAGAGACAAGCATGTCGCGGAGTTGTTCCCACTCATGAAGGCCACCTGTTTGCGATCACTTCTAGCCCCAAGATACTGCGTGCTTATGGGTTAGAACTGTCACTTTACAGCGGGGTGCGTCCCAGCCGATCGGCTGTCAGCCCTGTCTCCTCAAGTCAACTCGCAACGGATACAGCAATATTCAACGCTTGGTTCTCCTCGTTGAACAAAGCACTGCTACAATATCCGAAACGCCTCTCATGCCAACGCAAAAGCCAGTGCAGGGCCCAACAAACATGCGGGAAACACAGAGATCAAAGCCGCCCGCCGCATAGTCAGAGCGAGCGGCACAACAGAACACAGTAAGCGGAAGGTGGTCAAGCACCCCGGGCGGTTACTATTACAGTCTTCCATCCAAATATATCACTATTATCATCTTCGAATACGACTGTCTTGGCAGCGGCCGGGTGAGGGAAGGAGGTAACGACTTCGATCATTTTCAGGTGGGTATACGTGCAATCGTGCTTCCACACGGCCTCCTGTCCAACAGCACATCGATGCGCGTAGCCTTGGCGGTACAGGAGGCCGCCGTGTTACCGCGCGCTGACAACAAACATGTCAACTTTCTGACCCTGGAAAACTTCGCACCAACCACCGTTCGTGGTAAAAAAAAACACATTTATCGTATGGATAAAACGAGCTGTTCTCAAGACGGCCCTTCCCCCACCCCTTAACCCCCATGCAACCTCATCAAAACTCTACCCTAACCCGCCACCCAAAACTGTCGGCCTTACGCAGCCTCTGGCAAGCAATAAACAAAAATCGAGGACAACAATGGCAACTCCAATGAAACAAAGGTGATGCGCCCTTGCTCCCGGTCAGCCGCTCTTGTATTTGCTGCACTTTCTTCTAGTCAGAATGCGCCGCTTTCACCTGTTCGTGACCCACGAGGCACCCGGCAGAAGACAGCGCCACGAAGACATGCGCACAAGGGATCGACTTCAACTAACGCCAAGGAATGCGGCTCTGGAGTGATACGAAACAAGGACAATCCGACATCCTAGAACGGTGCTGCGCTTCCATGCTGCTTCCCGTATAAGCGATGATTCCTCTCTACAACACTAGTAGCACGTACGCCACCGCAAGACAGAAAATCGTTGCCACTATTTCGTGTGAGTAGACTGCGGGAGGTATGGGTGGACTTCTATTGTTGTTGTGGTGGTTGCCTTCTGCTTTTTTTGTCAATACATGTCGAATTGAAGCGAGACATTCGTGAGGAGATGTGTCCAGTTTAGACTCCCCCGGGGGTGGCACCTACAAATTGTAAGTTGACACAAAGAACTCCCTCAGGACGTCCCCCTCTCTTTCATCGTTCGGGGCAAACCCCTGGAAGCAACACGGCACGTTCCTCCTCTTGCCAACGCGTTGAGTACAAAGAGTAACAACAACAGCGGTGGCTGGATACCTCGAATGAGTTGTTCTGTACTGCCGGGTGGCAAAAAAAAAGCACGCACAAAACAAATACACCTCGGGCGACCTCAGAGAACGGGGTGCCATAACAAAAAACAAAAAAGACAGCAGTGATGGAAAGGTTTCGTGGAGAACAGGGCGTTCGACACAGGTAGCCTTCGCAGGTTCTGTTCCTAAGTAAACATGATGTAAAAAGCATGCAATCGGGGAACTTGGATTAGCGTCAAGGAAAAGGCTCTGCGTACCCCCTCCCTGTTCTATTTCCTCATACAACCTCAATTTCTCGCGAAAGGCGGTCCTGCTGAACGGGCATCACAGCAGCAAAATCACGCGCCACACCACGCAACACACCTAGCACTTATCCCAGGCAGAATCACAGCAAGTACGTACCCGAGAAGTTGACGCTTTTCCCCAGAATATGCTGGAGGCGGGGACGATAAAAACGACCCACTACGACGCAAAAAACGACACGCCGAGTGCCAAGCCGAAACCACACAAGGCGTCGGATGCACTCAACACCACCACACCCTAGTCCGTACGTACGTACCATGTCCTTGAAGGCCTTCGACGCCGAGAACGCCGGCGCCGTAGTGGCCTTGATCTTTAGTTCCTCGCCCGTGCGCGGGTTGCGGCCCGTGCGACCCTTTCTCGCGCGTCCCTCGAAGGTCCCGAAGCCCTGCAGGCTAATCTTGTTCCCGTCTGCCCCCAACCATTCACAAGGAGGTTGAATTGACGCGGGGGATTGACAAGCCAACTTGGCGGGCGATAGAAAGAGTCTGTTGTGTTGCTGTTGAAAAATTACAACGGTAGTGTCGCGAACGAGAGCCTGCCTTGGTTTCGGAAAGAATCACACAACCACCCACCAGAAAATACGGTACGCAAAATCCACGAACAGATATGCATGAGGCCAACACCACGATACTCTTCCTCACTCGCAGGCGAACACGTTCTCATCAACCAAATACAGCCGTCCAAGGACACGCCCCCAAGGCGACAATTCAGTTAAATGTAGGATGATGCACACAAAAGAGTCCCTTGGTTTGGTTTGTCCCGAAGCATTGTCCACAAACGCCCACAGCCCCATGGCCATCGAATTCGACGCTCGTGGGTACGGCGTCGGTTGTTGCACTTCGAATGCCTAACACACCGTTGAAACGCCAGCCTGCGGGCACAGCTCCTTATGCGTAAGGAAAGTTGGAGACACCCGATCCTCAGCATCCAGCTCCGAAATGCTTGCTTCGATTTTCATGGGCAAATAAACCCACCAAATAAGACGCCGCAAACGAGCTCCCTCGAAAGTGTATTATCATATGCTGTCAACACCACGACGTTTCTCGAGAAAAGTTAAGGGTTGCCCAAAGCGAGGACCAACTTCCCGGAAACGAACATTATGACAGACGCACCCCACACGGGCTTACAAATAGAGTAGCGTCAACCGTTTTCGGTTACCTTTATGCTAGGTGGTAGGTTGTTTCAAACTTGTTCGGATACGAAGGGACGCTGGCGGAGAAGGTGTTTGTAGACATCGGCGTGGACGGACCATACCAATGTACCCCCGAACCCCCCGGTCGAAACTCGCATCGATTCCCTTCATGCGAACCTGAGAACTAACTCAAGGCTTTCGTTCTTTGTTCCCCTTCAAGTTAAGCCCACGGGGCGAGAACAACACAGGCTTTGCTGACAAGGTATTCGAGATCAATACATTGCGTTGATCGCATGAGGCATCGAACTCATCAAGCGACGGCCAGCGACGGGTGGTGTTCCGATTGCCCTACGCAACCGTTGACCTTTTTCGTCCATGCCAAAGTGCCCAAAAGGTATTAATTAGTTCGCGGCGGGGGGGGGGGCGTACTCTTATGTTTTGAATGCCTTAGCGGTTGGACCATTGATCACACGTTCTCGAGACGACGGAGCACTGTTCCCACAGGACCGATCACCGATGGCCAATCGTTCCTTCCTATTGTACATTGCCAAAGGCAGCTCAAAAATGTTAGCCCTAGTCTATCTATCCTAACGGTATCACGTGCCGCCATTTTTTAAACCACTTCCTACTCCCCAGTACAGCTACCGTCTTCTCTCTATTCCGTGCCTCGAACATCTCCCTGTACCTCCCTTGTGTTTTGCCCAGCCCAGCCTCCTTTTCGTACAACTGACATTCCGCGACTACTTGAACACGTTCTTCGCATTCGAATCCGCAATCACATTTGCACTTGTCGTCTTCGTCGTCTACCGTCCTATGTCCCCGGTCCTGAATTTGACCTCAAGCTTTGTCCCTTCATCTATTGGTCCATGTAGGTAATCCTTGAACCCTATTCCTTCCTTCAACATTCCGTACACTTCTAGACCCTCCTTATCCTCGGTTTCTTTCAGATTCTGTTCTTCTTTCTCGGCACAAGCAACAGATATCTTCTCCTTGAACCCCTGTAGACCCTCCATTTCCAGCGTTTCATCTTCGTCGATTTCGAACCCCTTCCATACGTCCTCTAAAACCTCGACCCATTCCGTGGGTTGTCTACCCCGCTTTTTGTTTGCCCACTTCGCTTCCCATACTACATATTCTCGGCAACCTCTCCTCTCCCATCCCGCACATGCGATACTGCCATGTCAGCTTCCTTGCGTCTCTTCGTCTCTTCCCGACCGTAGGGATTGGATCCCCAATTCTACCCTGGCGGCTGCATTACTTGTGCGCTTGGAGCATCCTAGGATAATTTTCGCTGCTCTCATGTGCGTCACCTCGAGTTCTTTCACTACCTTCTTATTTCCTTCCCATATTTCTCCGCCGTACTCTAGCGGCGGTACGATTACGGGGGCGGGGGGGGGGGGGTACTCATAGTCGTGCATGCCGTAGTCGTTAGACCATTGACCTCGCATCCCTACAAAGCCGGGACGGAGCACGCCGGGTTCTCACCGGACCAGGCTCTCACATCACCAAGCGCGAAGCGCCTTGAGATATTCGGCGAGTCGCATGAAGGGTGCGCTGCATCCTGCTAAGGGTGTTCGGCATCTTGTGCTTACTTCCTTGCGTACGGATGACAGCTGCGTATGACTTAATTTATTTTCTGGTGCTTCCACTTCCAGAGACAGTTGTAAGCACTACTGTGTAACTGCCTCGAGGGTGCTTGACCATTTTAGCACAACTTGGTGCGATCATCCCCCTTGCGCGGAGTGAGGGTTTTCCACCCCGCACAAC